TTGTGGATGTGGTGTACAGAACGTGTGCCTAAAACGCAAATCGTCTTTGTCATCGGTGCTGCCATTGCCAATTTGAGTTTGCAACAAACAAAGAATTATGGACCATTTTGCTCATCAGTTGCATCCGTTACCATCTTGCCAATTCCTCCCCTGAAATACTCTAGCAGGAACAAAAGGTTCCTTTTGTCCAACGTCAGTCACTCTCCCAAAATTCACTACGCAAACAACATCAATCCTCTTTTAGACACTACTCTGACTTACAGCGACGACTCCGACAGCAGAACTATAGAATTATGAACAACCAATTTTACTTAACGTTTCCCAGTGACAGCTCCATGGAGGTGTTTCCCATTAACACATTATGCTGTTTCACAGCCAAATTACCCTCACCCCAACCAATTGGATCACGAAGCCCATTGCGAAGTGGCTTTATTCGAATTAATTCAACCTACAAAAGTCCTACATGTCCTTCCAAATCAAAACACTTTTGCGGTCGAAGTTTATGACGAAGAGGTACAAACATTCTTGAATAAAAGCCCAATTAGAAATAGCACTCGGATAAGAGAGGTATCCAAGACTCGACGTACAACTTGTGAGTAGGTAATTCTTGCAGGCTATTGTTGCAGCAGCAGTCAACATCTGGTGAGCACGATATCTACCATATTCAATGCAGTGTTCGGTTGGAGAGAAAAGGACAAAGTCTTAAGACTGAGTACCATAGAGTAGCTCGTCGCCTGCTGATGAAATTTTCGGACGGAAAAATGGTGTTCATGACATTTTGTCCTGATTTGTTTAACAGTTTGGGTGGGGACGTTGAGATGATGATGAATGTAATCAAGAAATACGAATTACCAGTCATTTTCGACAACTCGGATTTTGCAAATTTATTTTCTTTCCCGGTAGAACTGAAACAAAGAGAAAGTCTGGATTACTTTATATCAAAGGCAAACAACTTCCATCCTTCAATCAAATTCACGGCAGAAATTTCCAACTCAAACCATGTTTTCCTGGACACAACAACCAGACTGGTCGAAAACAAATTACACACAACCATCTACTCGAAACCAACCGACAAACACCAGTATCTCCTCCCAACCAGCTGTCATCCAAAACACTGGATTAGGAACATTCCATATAGCGAGGCACTGAGGATACGCAGAATTTGCTCCGACGATGAAAGATTCCTAGAAAGGTCTGAAGAGCTGGCTAAGCATTTAATTTACCGAGACTACGTCAAAGACCTGATTGCGGAGGCAATCCAAAGAGCCAAACAAACAAACCGTGGTGACCTACTCAAATATGGACAGAAAGAAAAGGCTGATAGGATACCATTTATTCTGACCTATCACCCAGACAACCCCAAAATAGGTAAAATCATCGCAAAACACTGGCCCACCGTGCAATCGTCGGACATACTAAACCTAATACTTCCGAACAAACCTGTAGTAGCTTACCGGAGACCAAAAACCTAAAGGACATCCTAGTCAGGGCAAAGCTAACGCCAATCGCTCATCAAAACCAATCTAGTCAATCTGGACCCTGTGGCGATAAAAGATGCAAAACCTGTCAACATATGATAGAGACCAGGACATTCACTAGCACGGTGACTAAAGAAAAACTAAACGTACATGGTCCAAGCAAACGTGGAAAACAGAGAATGTGATTTATCTCATCACATGTAAGATCTGTGGCCTTCAGTTCGTCGTAGAAACTGAAAAGCTACACAAAAGGATAAACCTTCATAGATCTGATTGGATGACAAAAAAGCTGTACAGAAGCCCGGTCGAAGAACACTTCTCCTCCCCTGGCCATACTTTCAGTGATATAACACTTATCGTTATTGCTAACAACCACAGCTGGAGTTCCGAAACCAGGAAGGAAAAGGAATCATACTGGATACGCCGCCTTAGAACATTGAAACCAAGCGGTCTAAACCAAGAAGATTAGAAAAAAGAAAACTATGCACTAGTAGAATTTAACTTTTCTAAATCTTCTTAGTATCCTCAATTTTTACTATAAGAATGACCGGTATAGAATCAAAGATCCGGGATATATACTGCGTTACATAAATGTACAAAAAAAAGTAAAAATAGATGTCGCTTTAGCTTGAAGACTTTTAGGGAATTATACAGTTTTCAGTATCCGCAACAAGTCTATACATGCTGGTTGTATTTATAGTTTTAACCGATGTGGAGACAGCTAAGTAGATGTTTATAAACACAACGTTTTGTGTTTATTTGTTTGTCATATATATATATATATATATATATATATATATATATATATATATATATATATATATATATATATATATATATATATATATATATATATATATATATATATATATATAAGGCTCTTTAACAACAATACACTGTGTCTAGCATTGTTTAGAATAAATTATATTAGACATTTCAAGAGTAATTTAATTTGTTCCATATATATATATATATATATATATATATATATATATATATATATATGTATATATATGTATATATATATATATATATAATACGAGAATTTACACAAATGTCAGTTTCGAGAGATTTGAAGGTACAGTTTATACTATAAGACATTCTTATCATCGTTAAGTACACACACTTTTTCATTATTTCTTCAAAACTGAATACATTATAGTTTACAAAAAAGTTAGACACTGTTCCATCTTGGTTGTTGTTGTTGTTGTTGGGCTTAACGCCATTTTCAGCACACGATAGGCTATTCATGGCGGCCAGTATTAATGGTGGAGGAAGAAACCGGGAAATCACAGGAAAGAACCACCGACCCACGAGAAGCTACTGGCAAGCTTTCTCACATGTCCACATTCGCCGAATCCTAGCCTCGAACCCACGCAGACTGAGGTGAGATCTCAGTGATCCGTAACGGACAGCGCTTTAGACCACTCGGCCACTCTTGGAAGGCTTAACATCAAACGAAGACTCATATTGTAACAAATAGCCATTTTTCTTTACATGTATTCATTAAAGTTTCTCTACATAGGAACGCAATACGCGCAATACCTTGTACAGTAATAACGTTTTGAAAAATCAGTTTCTAAATTTATGAAGAAGCATGTTTGTTCGAGTGGACACAATCTTCATCTGACCGATTGGATTTTAAAATATGACTCAAGTATAACTGTTAACATAAAAGCATGGCCGTTAAGATGTACAGAATAGTGATTTGAAAGAAGTTGACAGCATGACCTGCATCTATATCGACTTGTGTGTTTTATAGATGATATCTTCTCAAATGCGTATTGTTTACCTATCCTTAAATCATTTCATTGAACCTGCGTTAGAAGGACTTTTGAATCAAAGCTAAATTCGCTGCGAAAAACACATTTTTTTGTCAAATTAAACCCCACCTGGCACTAGTCCAGTGTACAATTTAATTCCCCGACGTATATATTTAAAAAAACAAAAAACAATGGGGAAAGAACACCTCCCTGCCTCTCACCACTGGTTACTTGGAAGGAACTGGATGCTACTTTTCCTGAATGCACGTAGTATAACTATTTGCCATACCTGTCATATAAAGTATGAACTATGTAAACAAGTGTTTGAATATGAAGCATATTTTTTTAAAGAATGTCCAATGGTTGGTGCTATTAAACGCCTTAATAGCGTCTACAAAACAGAACTGCCATGTTCGTCATAACAGCTGACGGTTTTCTTACAAGCAAAGTCGTGTAAGTCTTTTGAATTTTGTTGCTTTTTAAAACCAAACTTACTATCAGAGACTGTGACTAAAATCGCTGTAGTATAATGCAATCAAATATTTTTTAAAATTATTTGTCATAAGAGTTTTTGGTATATAAATTATATACAAATATACAATTAAATAAAAGCATCAAAAGGAAATGCAAGCTACATCTGAAGATTTAAAATGTTCTAAATGTAAAAAAAAATGATTATGGACAATTGTTCTCTTTCTATGTAGCTATGGTACATTCGATATCAGTGTGATTAGTCCAATGCAACTAGAAGGGGTCTTGCATGCTGAAAGAACCTACTACTTATTTGAATCATTTTTAACAATATTTAGTAAGGCTTCAGAATGAGTTTTCCAAGCTATTTTGGCTACAGTTCCCATCAATGTGAATCTGTAGCCAAATTGAAGCTGTAACATCTAGTTTCCAGAATTCGAGTTTAACTAAATGTTAAAATTTACTACAAGCATGTCTGCTTTATGTTTCAATTATTCCTTCCGACATAATCTAAGATGAGCCCATGGTGACCGATTGGTCTAAAATGCTCGCCTTTACCGATCACAGGCATCTCAGTAATGTCTGCCTGAATTCGATTCTCGGGCTAGGCCAAGATGGGTATGTGAGAATGCTTGCCAGTATCTTCCCGTGGGTCAGCGGTTCTTACCGGGTTACTCCGGGCTCCTTCTCCACCAGTTACACTGACCGCCTTGTATAGCCTACAAGTGCTGCAAAGTGGCGTTAAACACAACACAACAACACACTCTTAGAGCATATTTAAATTGAGCTCAAATCTGGCGCATTTTGATTACTGAAGGGTCTATGGCGAAGTTCACCGTTATCAAGCCACATAGGTAGGCATTTCGTGCATAGTCGTCTAGTTCTCTGGACACGGTCATTCCAGCTTAGTAGGTCCCGGTGACCTAATTTCGATTTGCTAGCTAAGTTTTTGCCAGAGTGGACAAGTTTGTACGGTATCGATGTATAATCCATTCACATGTTTCCTATGCACCTGATTACTACGATGATCACATGATCATTAGATCATTACAGACTGCAAATCTCTATCTTGCCTAATAAGAGAATAGATGTTTCAGTATAATTCAGTTTTTCATTGGCTGGGAGGTGTGGTCAGATACATGATGCTGTATTTCACATGTACGAGTTCAATGGGGCAAGAATCAAAACCAGAAAAAAAATATCTGGTTGTCATTAAACTAAGAAAATTTGTCTGAGGTCTACTGTAAGTTTTACGTCCGATATGATATGACCTTATTCAACCGCTCCTGTGGCTTAGTGGTTAGAGCGTCCGCCTCGAAAACCGGAGGTCGTGGGTTCTATCCCCAAACGAGTCATACAAAGGACTTTCAAAAATAGTACTAACAGCTGCCTTACTTGGTGCTCAGCATTAGGAGGTTAGTGTTAGGACTGGTCGGCCTAGTGTTAGGATAATGTGACTGGGTGGGACATCATGCCACATTCCTGCGGCATGATGCGTCATTGCTAGACATCGCTATAAACTGTCACACTGCATACATCGTAGCGATATGGTTGTTAAACGCTACTTTAAAAATCTAAATCACACAAAATAATTAATTTTGCCCAAATAATCGACGAATTCCCCCATATTTTCCGCTAGATCACAAGATAAGACGTTTACACAAGCAAAGATAATCCCACATCTTGCTAGTAAAAACTATTAATCTGGGATCATCGGGGCGTTTTACTTCTGTAGTACTTGCGATTGATCTATGTTACAATAATCCAACACACACGTATGAATTTCCTTAAAAGATTCAATCGGCTATACCTCTGATCCATACAACTTTTAACTTACCGTTGAGAGGCGGTCTCACCATCTCAGTCATAATTCTTACAGAAAACAAATTGTATAAATATTGCATACATTTCTTAATTTTTTTATATTTCTTGTTGAAGAAAGCAGTTATAAAAAGAAATGCGTATAGCATCTAGTATATTTAGTAAAGCTTTATTCCGACTCAGATTGTAGTCTTAAGTAAAGCATTCTTTAGATACGCATCCCCGTTCATATCACATTGTGAGTAATGTTATCACAGATAATTTAGACCCTGCAATCAAGTATATTTCCTATATAGTTTTTCAACCTGGGTTGGCTTAAACTCCATAGGAATGATCAGTATAAAAGGAAATATCTGATACTAACTTTTCAGGGGCAAGTCTTGCAATGAATATGCATCGCTCTCGCATTTGGCGCACCGTACGCAAGTGAGAAGACACTTCCTCTCCTTTGTGATAAGACCAATACGCCTTCTTGGAATCTAGTGGATTGTACATTTCTAAACTTATTAGCCCGACGCCAATATAGCTTTTCATCCGATGTCTTACGTACAAATGCAGATCTACAGAGGTCGTTGTTCCGTAGAGAACTACTGACTTTAGCAAAGGTGCTAACATTTTTTCAAATCCTCGTCTAGAGCATTGGTGTCTTATTCTGCCGATGAAAACACGTTTATTGCAATTGTGCTCAGATTCAATTCGCCGTCATCTGAATTATTATTATTATTATTATTATTATTATTATTATTATTATTATTATTATTATTATTATTATTATTATTATTATTGTTGTTGTTGTTGTACCCAAGAAGACAAAGCAGGCCTTGTTTACATTACTCTGAATCTCGTAGCTGTTAGAATCCGTTCATAACATTTATTTGTGTGCGTTCCGAGTAACAGTCCTTTCTGTTGAACATATGGTGTCAGTTATTTCTTTGTTGTCATACAACATTGATTTATCAGCTCTGTATTTCTTCTAGTGTAAACTCGATTTGCTTTGATTTCGCGTTTAGTACAATGTCGGACTGAACTACGTTCGAATTATCAAGATACGGTGGTATGTAGTTACGACTTTCGAGCTTGACCGAGTTTCTTCACCTACCCGTTGCATTGAACATAAAAGTCACCGATTTGACTGACCTTTAAATATCAGCTGAATGTTTTATATTTTCGATGTAAAACTAAAATGACCACATAATTATACGATACAGGTGGCAGCTTTAACAGATCCAAGGCACAATAGCTTGGTTTGTCATTTGGTTTTTTGAAAAGAACGATATCCAATATACTTTTCATAATATTTGCATATTTATCTGTACTTTCCGCTTTATCTTTTTTTTTCTTCTGTTTGTACCACTGAAAGCAACGTCTGTTTCGCTCCTTCGAAATCACTGTCACAATGTGTCCACAAAGTTTGACAATACGATCACACGGCAAAGATTTCATTTTATTCTGTACAAAACAAAGCAGTTCACTCGTCATTATTGAGGGTCTAACAACGAAACGCTGTCGTTGGTATTCTGCCGACAAATTTGTAGGGCTTCTTCCCGCTCTATGAAATCTTTAAAGGTCCCATTTCTTGCAAAGGAACAAATTTCCGTGACACAAATGACTTGAACAGGTTCCACAATTTTCCTATTGCATGTCTGACTTAATTTCTTATGATAGGTTAAGATTACAACTGAAGAAAAATGCAAAAATTATTAGGAGAGGTACTAAACTACAGCGCTATAGCGAAGCCATCAAGCCATCTTCTTTTATATCTTTCAATTTATGAAATCATATTAAGTTAGTGCCGCTATAAATGTAATTTCTTATCGGCTATAGAAGAAGGGCTGTTCTAGGTTACGACAATTTTTAACCCTAACCCATTTGCTGACAATGATGGCAGTAACTAAATGTTTCTAAACTAATTATACAACGTATTCACACGTGTTAAATATAATCAAACTATTTCACTAACGTTTAATTCTTTATTACGTCTGTGAATTGGACTTTCACATGTGAGGAAAAAGAATAAATGTTACAACGGCTTGCCGTTAACGGTATATTTTACTGTACGCATAAAACTTGAAAGATAATACTTTTTGTAGAAACTGGCGCACCTGTCCTCGTCACTGACGTATTGAAATTACCCGAGACGTTAGATAATACTATAATCTAGGGGTGCTTAAAATACGGCCCGCAGGCTGGATTGACCCGTGACCCCTTTTATTCGATAATTGACAGCATAGGCTTTTAAAATCACTTATTTGGACCACGCCCGGAAAGAAGTTTCCTATGCCTTTTGTAAACCATTACACAAACATTATTTTTTGCCTGGGTGAAAATACTACGGCAGGCCAGACTCGAAATAACAAAATTAAATTTGCTGAACGCCGAGAGAGACGGCTGTCTCGTGCATTTTTCAGTCATATCGCTACAATGTCTTTCTTCAATGTGACAGTTTATAGTGATGTCTAGCACATGTGGCATGATGTCCTGACCAGTCCTAAAACTAGCCTCTTAATGCTGAATGCCAAGCGAGACAACTGCGAGAACTATTTTTGAAAGTCTTTGGTATGACTCGGTCGGGCTTCGTACCCGCGTCCTCCCGTATCCGAGGCGGACGTTCTAACCACTAGGCCACCGGAGCGGTATTTATAAAAATGATATTACTATGATTTCTAGGAACAAATTTTAAAAAAACCAACGTATTATATCCAGTGAATTGAATGAAAAAATACAAGCTAAAATATTTTCGAATATTGTGCTGGGGATGTAAAACAAATAGGAAGATGACTGTGTGATTAAATCCCTGGTAGGGATTTACAGGGCCTTGTCTCCGGAAGCTCGTGTATCTGAAAAGTTTCAGGGTGCATAATTTGAACCATTTAACTTTTAAGTCAATTTAACATTGGAAACGTTCGTGGCTTTTTCCGTGCTCCTTTTTCTTGCCGTGGTGGGGGAGAGATGCATCTCTGTCCTTCCATCTCCACTCCCAAGATTAGCCTCTTATTGTTGTTGTTTTGTTGTTTTAGGGTTTAACGCCATTTTTCTGCACCAGATAGGCTATACCTGGAGGCCAGTATTAATGATGGAGGAAGAACCCTGCAAAACCCCGAAAAAAACCACCGATCCACGATAAGCTTCTGGCAGGCTTTCTCACTTACCCACGTTAGCCGAGCCTGGACTCGAACTTACGCAGACGAAGGTGAGATGGAAGTGATCCGTAACGGTCAGCACTTTAGACCACTCGGGGCCCCTCGCCTCGTATTAAAAAATAATTCTTGTGCAATAAAAAATTACAGGTGAAATTATCTAAGAAGTTACATCTTCTCTGTCCCGCCGTCCCGCCAAGTACTATTGCGTCACCTGGAAATCCAAGCATTTGACACTACTCGAGTTGAACTTAACATTACATCGCTATTTGTTTACTAATTTAGTTACTTGCAAAGATGGAACCGCGTGTAGCCATGTGGTTTTTATAGTTTTAGGATTTAACGCCATTTTTCAGCACAATACACTATATGTTATACATGGCAGCCAGTATAAGGGAGGAAGAACCTGGGAAATTCCCGGAAAGAACCACCAACTCAATGCGAAGCTACTGGCAAGCTTTCTCACATACCCATGATGGCCGAACCCACGACTCTAACCCATGCAAACAAAGTTGAGATGGCAGTTACCCGTAACGGTGAGCGCTTTAGACACTTGGCCGTATAAATAAGGGAGGAAGAACCTGGGAAATTCCCGGAAAGAACCACCAACTCAATGCGAAGCTACTGGCAAGCTTTCTCGCATACCCATGATGGCCGAACCCACGACTCTAACCCATGCAGACAAAGTTGAGATGGCAGTTACCCGTAACGGTGAACGCTTTAGACACTTGGCCACTCCGAGCTCCGTTGTCTTAGAAGCCCGCATTTACGTATCTCAATTTTTCCGTCCGTATTCTAGTCTTGGACTTTGACAACGTAGGTAGGTGAGAAATCTTACCAGTAGTTTGGCCGCCATATATTGCATATCGTGTGCTGAGAAAGGCATTAAACTCCTAGCTATTTATCAGACATAAAAATATCATTTACATTTGTATAGATAATTTTTTCGTCCGATAAATCGTTGTTTACATTTGTAAAGCTACTAAAATGGATTGAGGTTGTTCATTTTGGTCTTTTATGCTAGTTAGAATCCAAAGTTGCGGTTAAATGGAATGTGGAGTTGATATTGTGCATAAATCAACAGCGTTTCAAAAGTCGCTCTGCTCCTTTGTGTTTGTAATAAAGGTGGGGAATGTACAATTCTAGACAGAGAATACGTGTCCTATGACATTGCATACGTGGGTCCTGAACGAAGTAGAACGATTAGCAAAATGTAAACATGCGGGTTACACTAATCATCGCGTATTTACAATAAGATCATTAGACAATCCATACTAAAATTCCCTATGAAAAGGTCGTTTGCTGGTAATGGAAAAACACTGCGTATTTACAGCCTGTATTATAGTTCAACGCGGTCAAACACTAGTACTAATATTAGTGCCTTAGTCCTTTTATCAGTATACTTGAATCAAGACGCAGTAGTCCCAAAACCAATTATAACAGTAATAATAATATGTGACTTCTAAACATGTGCGTCATGACATGTGGAAGACAATATTTCAACCACAGACAGACATGTACAACAATCACCACAAAATAAGTTGAGGCTACGACATCGTAGCTAGGTCAAACACATGTTAAACAGTTACATTTCAAATAATGATTAAGCATACTTGCCATTATTAAATCGAGCATTATCTACAGCTGCTTTTAAAAAAAAAATATACGTATTTCATATTTATTCACCAATATATTAAATGTTTGGATACAGTCGCCAAAAACTCGACAAATTTTAATAGGAGTGTAAAGAAATAGCACAAGTTCCAAAAAAAAAAAAAAAAAGAAGAAACTAACCAATACGCCGCAGATCCGCATAGTCGGTAGAAAATCCCCCAAGTTGTATAGCCTTTCTCGAGGGTTTATACATTCGTGTATCATAAATATTATTTATTATATCACTTATAAAACGATATTGTGTTCGTTCATTCTTTCATACTCATCCGTGGAAATAAAACCGATGAAATAAAGAGGAAAACAAGATTTTCGTTTCCTGCATTACAGGTAAATTTCATGCAATCGTTTGCCCAAAGCATGCGCACGGCTTAGTTGTTACTGCTTTATTTTTTTTACCTTCCGAATTACCTGGTACACGTCTATTTACCTTCGTCGGAACAAAGGCTGTGGTTAATAAAGGGCCGGATTTGTCTCCGATAACTAATCAGATGACATTTACAAGTATCAGCTGACGTACATGTTAATTGTCTACATTTTCCGTCCTGAAATATGCAGTGTCATAGTGCAACAATATTTCCTTCTGAAATATGAGTTTAATCTTTCTAAAACACACACACACAAAGCCGAAATACGTCTCAGAAAAAAAGAATCGTGATAAAAAAGTCATTATAGTGCACGAGTTTGTGCAATATATTCCTTACTGAATAAACAGGTCTTCCCTCCGCATCTATTAAAATTACTGATGGACGGGTACCCAGCCCAGTCACTAAAGTCTTGCACTACACGGATATACGTACGGATGGACGGGTACCCAGCCCAGCCACTAAAGTCTTGCACTATACGGATATACTCTGCTGCCCGGGTTTTATCTTGCCAGTCGATCCCACCCCCCACCCCAGTAAGAAAATTTTAAAAAATGAAACAGTTTTGTGATTGATAGAATTGGGGGCGAGAAACAGGTGATATAGGGAAACTAAACAAGCTTGGAGTGCAGAAAATCCGCGGGGCAATTCCTAGCCGGGTACCCGGCAAAATTGTTGTACATGTCTGTCTTTGGTTAAAATATTGTTTTCCACATGTGATTCAAGTATACTGATAAATATTTATAACTCTCTCTCTCTCTCTCTCTCTCTCTCTCTCTCTCTCTCTCTCTCTCTCTCTCTCTCTCTCTCTCTCTCTCTCTCTCTCTCTCTCTCTCTCTCTCTCTCTCTTGTGCTACAGATTTCAAGCATACATTTTGTCGCAAGTGAATCGTTTGATGTAAGTTGCAAAATTCTTTAGAATAATTTCACAGTACATTCTGTTGTGGTCAGCGTGACACGTAACCGTTAAGATTGACGTATAGGCTATACTCACAGTAAATTTGGTAACTAGCGACGGTTAAGCTATCTTGTTTGGAAGCAAGAGTGATTATAATCAGGACTCGCTCGGTTAACGGATAGAGACAGAATGCAAAGTTTACGCAAGGTCCATGGCGGTATATGATAAGAGTCGAGACTAACTAGATTAAAACTTTAGGAAGACTTAGGTCATTTAAAACAGATGTCATAAAATTATATTTTCCAGAATAGTTATAGCTTATGGCAGACCAGAGAGGATTATTGTAACTTCATTGGAGTGTTAAATTTTCTGGTGGTTTAAGAATTAATTAATCATGATTGGCTACACTAAACGAGGGGTGGGGCGTGTGTTTAAAGGCCTAGCTGAAGCTTCAAGAAATTCCATCGTAAAATATTAATTCTAATTCGTTTCAACCGAGAATCAAGGGTGTTAGTCTTAGAAGCGTGTTTGGTACAGGCATTTGTCAGCTGGTAATTAATAGCCACAATAGGGTGTGATGGTTTATCTTAGAGGGCTAGGTCCTGCTTCTGTAGTTTGCGAGTAGGGATAGAAAAGACAATTTAATGTTAATAGGATTGCGAGTGCGTCTTACGTTTCAAAATCACAATACCTTAGTTCTGTTGACTACGATAAACTATATCTGACGAATGAAAGTGGGAATATTGGTTGATCCCTGGAGATGAACAAATTACACGCATTTAGGTTTGGTATTGTTTTCGTTTGAATTTTAAAAATAGCTATATTCCTGACTGTGCAGTGGAAAGAGAGTATAGGTCTGCAACCTATCTGTTGATGAGAGAGAGAGAGAGAGAGAGAGAGAGAGAGAGAGAGAGAGAGAGAGAGAGAGAGAGAGAGAGAGAGAGAGAGAGAGAGAGAGAGAGAGAGAGAGAGAGAGACGCCAACCTATCACCAACAGTAATAATTTGGAAAAGACCGGAAGCACTGTGAAGTTGACATATTATCTAATTGAGTTCGACCAGTCAATCGATTATGTGATGAAATTTGTGCTATCTAATTGAGTTCGACCAGTCAATCGATTATGTGATGAAATTTGTGCTATCAGTACAACAGAACGATTGATTGGATTCAGTATAAATATTTTTTCGCTATTTCTAAGAGATTCATTCAAATAAATTTATTCGAGTTCATTTTGTGTATGTAATTGATTAAATTGTTTTATTTTACACAATTATATTGTATATCTCTACTTAGATATATGTTATTCCATCTCTTAATTTAATGTATTATTGTATTGTTTTTCTATCCAGGCAATAAACACCGTGATCGATCATCTACTAGAAAACGATTAACCACAAGCCACAAGGGGATAGGGTATGGAGATCAAAAACGCATCTCCACCACCTTACCGACATTTGGAAAAGCCTAAAAATAGGGTTTTATGTATTCTTTGTCATTCCTGACTGTCAGTTTTTCTAATTAGAATTCATAAAAATGTCTTTATTTTTTCTTCTGATAATAT